AATGGGAGAAAGACGGACGTAAAATGGAACTTTTGCACTTGGGTTACGTTTTGCGGAGATGTTTTCTTACTTCAACAAATGTTTTCAAAATGTTGAGCTTCTGTCTCACCGTTATTTGCAGTCAGCGACCGGATATTGGCCTTAAATTCATGAGATGCTGAAATGTGGGTAAAATACGATTGCGCCTGTCATGTAAGACCATGAGTAGATGAGGATCCCCAGTTGACATCCAAGGCAGCCCTGACGCCATGATGCAGTGGCCTCATTTGTTTGTCATGCAGGGCCAAACAAGGGCGCAGACATCTTGGGTCCCTCGGAGCTCAGCCACTCCGTAATCTCTGTGGATGTGAATAGCCTATTAGGAAGGTCAGCAGCTAATCAGAGACAAGGATGGATGGGCGGTGCAGGTATTATGGCAGACTCGGACGGACGCGATGGTGAGCCCTGCTCTGTTGTACCGGTTCTTCTTCATTCTAGGCCTCGGGTATTTTACAGTCCATCTCCTAGGTGTGATGTGTCGTGGTGTGCGTGTGTGTTTATAGTGGGACCAATGAATCGGCATGAGTCACAAAGCCCAATTAACTTGTGAAAGACCCGTTTGGACAAGCTTCCTCTCAAGCGTGTCCGATGGGTCATTGGCAATTATGGGAAATAGATCCTCACAAGGCAAATAATATCCAAGTGTTTTGATGTAGATTTTGGTGGACTGGTTGCAACTCTTGGCGTGAATTTATGACGCAAAAATGTTCTGGGATAGCATTTCTTAATGCCAAAGTGCGGTAGTGAGTGACAGTGAAAAGAAATGACTGAATCCCCACTACCTACAGGTTCGTTATCCCTGCCCCTAAGCTCGTGTGGACACGCCACTGAACGACGAGAATATCACAGCACTGAGGCTGTCAGAATTTTAAAAAATGATTTTCCACAATCGTCAACAGTGAAAGGTGGGTTTTGACAAACTCGTCCTTGTCGACGCCTACCTCCAGGATGGAGTTTATTCACTGTTCCACTCATCCTTCGTAGACTATTCAAATGGATTCACTAAGTGGCTTGTGCAAACGACTCGACTCGAATCTCCAGCGGATTGGAAGCAACCGGCGGGACCGGTGTTTAGACAAGCGCCATTTCCTTTCGACTTTATCTCCTGCTCCTTCCACAACGACTTCGGTCAGTCAGATGTTCTGTCATGCGACCACCGACGAGGTGTCGTTATTTTTGGACCGTTTCTGTAACAGCCATTGTAGACGGTATGCGACATCCAAGGGGACATCGACGTCATTCCAGGCATGATGTAATCGGCCGAATAAGGTTCATTAGCCGCAGCCTCATCTACTGAACTCCAACGCACCAATGATTTATCGACCTTGTAAAGACCTGGATTCATGTGCACATAGACGTCACGCGGCTTATCAATAGGACTTCGGATGTGGTGCCTGTCGACGTCTTTCCAGAGTGGCCATGCGTTGCACAATTGGAATCACCAACCATCAACCAAACGATTCAGGCCTTATCACACACTCGGCAAGCATGGAGTATCAGGTAACAAGAGCTAGTAGATCATCCCGAAAATAGTCTGAACCTAAACTAGCATCAGGCGTTTCGGTTCCTTGTACGGTGGCCGGCCTGAACGGTTCGTGGACTAATCGAAGCTGGTTGAGCTCGGTGCTTTGTCGACAACCAGTCAACACTAAAAATGAACAACTTCCCAACCAACAACCACTGTCCGCGACACTAACAGGGCAACAGTTACCCGCGACTTTTACCGTCTTCACAAAAAGGATCCATCGCCGGTGAAAGACGACTAGCCGGTCAACGCGAGGACAACATTGTGAGCTCGACTAGCGGTCGAACGTCAAAATTAACGATTTCTGTGGCTTTAAAAAAGCGGATGATTGGAATTTGTGGCGTTTTTTCACTGTCGCTAATTATACAGACGAGGTGTAATTCGATCAAAGCAAAAAAAGCGAAATCGCAACACATGGACTACTTAATCATTGAAAGCAACAACTCTAGATCGCTTTGCCACACAATTCGCAAGTCACACCACAATGTCCCTTGCTGGATTTGGCTACACCTACTCACACGTTTAACACCGAACAACCCGGGGGTAAGCTTTCAAACGAGAGATTTCAGATATGTACATTTCCGACAAGATTGCATTCAATTATGAGAATCAAGCGCACGCCACAATTGCTTTTTACACGTTAAAACAAACGAAGATACTGTACACATAAGAAGGCAGTAAAAGAATATGTACAAAGGGGTGCAAAAATGCGATCGACCTGTGCCTAAGGAGCCTTGCCCCGACGTGTCCTCTGGCCACGACGCGGAGGTACGTCAATCAATAGGGACTTTTGCTTGCAGCTATCGACGTCAGACTGAAGGTTGGCAATACCACGGGACACCTCTTCAGCCAGAATGAGGGAGTTCTCGGCCTGAAGGAATTGACTCGTTTCAATAAGGGGGGCGAGCTTTCGCATCGCTACACCCGCCGACAACTTCGGCAACGCGGCCTGATCTCCACCGTCCGAGGACATCGATCGCGTGACGCGCCGGTTCGAAGGAGGCTCCGCTGTTTTCGCTCTTCCACCGCGTCTTTTCGGAGGCGCCGCCGCAGTCGTCGACAGCACGTCAGCACTGATCTTTGGCTCATCAACTCCACAGGCGCTTGCGGCCTGAATCTGAGTCATCTCTATAGCCAGGTGTTCGCTCAACACATTCTCCGAGTCACTGTCCGGCGCTTCTGAAATGGGCACCTTCACAGTGGCCGTCGATCGCAAGCGAAGGTTTCGGCGTTTCACGCCCTTTGCTCCAGCACCGCGTTTCCCTCGCTTCTCTCCCACGGACTCCTTCACCTCCACAGCCATCGAGGCGGCTGTTTCGGCATTGGAAGCCTCCGAAACACCAGTGCTTCCAACATTGCCTTCCACCGCCGATGGCATCCACTGGAAGTCGGTCTCGCACGACACGTCCACCTGCGCCTTCACACAAAACAGAGCCGCTTCACCAAACACACCAAAACAGTATTCATTAGCAAATTACGTGACATAACAGACCTAATACGACCCATCAGCAATCGATGCTAACACTTCCAAAAAGGTTCCACAGCTTCAAAACACTCGCCCAAGACACGCAACCGCTCCACACCTACATCTACTTACCACACTTTTCTTAAGCAAATCCAACTCTGATGTTGCCTTCTCGTAAGACGACTTCATCTCGGCCAGTTCTGCCTCAAGCTTATTGCACCGCGCCTCCAGAGTGGCAACATCGCTACTCGCGATCGCGGCTTCCGCTTCATGTGCGAGGAAGGATTGGAGACCAGGGCTCACCTGCAAATTCAACACATCATCAGGCGACAATTTGCCACCACCACAAGAAAAAAACAGCCATACTCGCTTCTCACCGCTTCCACACTTAACAAAAGATATTGTCTCCCACACATTTGATTCCATACCTACATTCACAGCACCTCCAAGTCAACAAACTACCTTGAACGAAATTACGGGACTACTGTCTAACACTACCACGCATAAACTAGCACCATCTTATGCCTTTGAAGAGTTGAACTACGATATTTAGGACACTGACACCTACAACTCAAGATTTCCTCTTACCTTACACTCACTGTCAACACCAGCATCAGATCCACACACACACTGCTCATTCTCCCCCCGAAGGCAACTCAACGCCTCGTCACTAGTCCGCCTCGTTTCCACCCTTGACACCATCTCCACCAAACTCCGCCTCTTGACCTTCACAACGGTTGCAGGCGTTGGGGGGATTATGTCATCGTCTTCTGACTAAAAAATCAACGAACGCCATTAGACCCTGCCATCACCTTTGCGTCACAAATAACTCCGACCACACAAACACACACGCAAGAACTTGTTGTGGGCCCCAGCATGTAGTCTTGAACCACGCCGGGGCCACGGAAATAACCCTGGTCCGACTACGTTTCCCTGATATCGGCGATGAAGAAAAAGATCGGAGAGGACGTGGACACGACCGTTTACTTCAGAGCTCAACCACTTTGGTGTCGTCGTGCCGTGTGTGGGGTTTGCGCGTGTGTATCTACACCTCGGATGTGCGGGTCATACATGCGCCAACATCGAGACCTGAGTGTGAGGATAATCGAGGATATATGTTCGTGTGAATGAGGTGGGATTTGAGAATCTGCGCGGCTGGCGGCATGCTGCGAAAAGGGGAACCCTGTGTCGGTGATGGGGCGACCGGAGTGTGAATAAACACGATTAACAACATATTCATCTCCAACCACATAACCGATACAATCTGAATCGCCACCAAAACCAACGAACAGCGGTACATACTCCTTGCTCACCACAAGGAGCAGCGAACAGCCAATGAGAGTTCTTGGCCACCAAGCTACACAAGCCCCACAACCGCAGAGAGCATCTTTACACTTAACAAGCAAACACTTATCGCAAAATCCACAACGACAACCTACTATGGCAACAGGCGAGACGATTGGTGGGAAGAACTTCCGCGGTGGTTTCTTTATTGCTGCTGCGGGGTCAACACCAATCGAACCTGAGCTGTTACTGGCTTCCTTCTCATTACTGGATTCGCACTAAAACAAGATGAGTAAACTAAGAGCGCAAATCCTATTGCTGTCGACAGTTACTTCGTAACTCGACAACTTACCGAAACCAGGGGTGGAAAAAGCGTGGTTGATGGTTTCGGACCAGCACCGGTGACTGGCGCAAGAATTTCCGATTGTTTCTACAAATCAAGGGGCAACCAAGTTACACAGATACACCAATTCATTCCAAATCGCACTCGACACACACGTTGCCAAGTGTTTCGCAAACAAACCATCACCGACTCACACACACACACACACACACAGAAAACTCCAACATACAATCACACCTTTCACTCCAACCGAGGCAAAAAATGCACAACGACCAAGAGCTACTTCAAACAACTACTACTACCACTACAGCAACGCTAAAATCTGCGCTCTCCAACAAACCCTTCGCATTCCTGCTCGACCACAAACAACAACAGCCTCACCGCATCGTCCAATCCACCTCAAAATTCATTTCATTGTTAACTACATACATTCGCCGCACTCAACTCACGGTTAACTGGAGCAGGTATTGCAGTCGCCGAATCTCCACTTGGAAACCGTCTCGCTCCTGTGTGATTGTCGATATGGCATCCTGCTGGTCGGCCAGGTCGCCTCGCGCATCCTCCAACTCACACTTCAGTCTCTCCACCTCCTTTTCGTATTCTAAGCACAAAAACACCAACTTCACAACCACCACATCTACATCAAGTCAACGCTACACAACATACATAAACACAGACACACACACACACTTCATTGCCCCTCTCATTACCACCACACCAACCTACCTGCACAACTCGCGCACACATCCTCCTCCTCCTCCAACTCCACCTCGTCATCATCGTTCAAACCTTCGTTCCCCACTACTCTCGCCAACTTCTCCAACGGCGCCACCGGTGCCACAACTTGCGTCCCCTCCACAACATCCTCCAAATCATCCACCAGAATGGACGTCTCACTCACACACACTGATTTCCTCGACAACACAGACTTGCCACGTCGTTTTCGCCCCAGCAGTTTCGCCTCAAACTCCTTCTCCTGAGCCTGCAACAACGACCTACAAAAACAACAAAATCCACAAGTCCTGGCCACATCCTCAATACACCATACACTACACTGCCCTATCACCTACGCGCTGCCTCTCTCAGCCAATCAACCTCCTAGTTCCTGAACTATAGTTTTGTGCGACATATTCGCTTGGCAAGCAACACTTCCCCACAGCGAAACCGTCTCTGCACCTCGTCATTTTTGGAGTGGCCTCAGGCATGGCTGGTGGAGAAGGCGTCGATGAATTTGCAATCATCCGGAAATTCACCAAAAACCGGACCAAAAGAAGAGATCGCCCGCGACAAAAACCCTAAGGGTTAGGGTAGTACGGATAAACCGTACTTTGCCAATCCACCAGCCGTCACACACTGACACAACACCAACCCCATCACTACACCCACCAAACCCACTGACAAGACCACACATCCACACAACTCACTCGTATTGCTCCTCCATCCGCAGCAACTCCTCTCCCATCGCGCTTGATACCTGCGCGTGCACTTCCTTCTTCGCCTTCTCCACTTCCTCCGGAATCCGCGACACCGTATCCATCAACTCCTTTATTATCTCCACCAGGTCCTGCAAGGCATTACATTCACTACCAATCTGCTTCTTCCAATTCACCTTCTACCCTCTATCAACCACACATGTCTGATTTGTGCAATCACCTCCACACACGCGCCACACTCCAACACACCACATCACAACCCACTTTCACTCGCTCATTCCTTGCCTAGCATGCAGTCCGCAAATCACTTCACATTACGAAAAAACACACCACACCAGCACACGCTTCAAATGAAAGCATATCCAGACAATGCACTTACAGCTCTTTCCAACGAATCGAGGTCCACTTCGTTCTCCAAAAACCCAGGCAACAA